TGATGATAATCATGATGCTGTTGCTGATGATGATGATGATAACGATGACTACGACGACGACGACGATGATGATGATGGTGGTGGTGGTGGTGTTGATGCTCATGATGAAGCTGATGGTGATGATGACTATGGTGACGGTGAAAATGCTGACGACGGTGACGATGATGACGACGATGACGATGATGCTAGTGATGCTGATGATACTGCTGCTGATGATGATGATTATGAGGAAGATGATGATGCTGCTGATGATGAAGCTGACAATTCTGATGCAGATCATGACGATGACGCCGCTGCATGTGGTGACGATGATGCGGATGATGCTGATGATGATGCTGCTGATGATGTTGATGATGATGACGATGACGATGCTGACGATGCTGATTATGATGGTGATGCTGATCATGAAGCTGCTGCTGCTGATGATGCTGATGATGATGACGAGGATTCTGGTGATGGTGATGATGATAATGATGCTGTCGATGCTGCTGCTGATGATGAAGCTGAGGATGATGCTGAAGATGATGCTGATGATGATGCTGAAGATGAAGATGGTGATGCTGATGATGCTGCTGCTGATGATGATGCTGATGATGATGGTGCTGTTGATATGATGGTGGTGATGAATATGATGATGATGCTGCTGATGATGATGATGACAATGATGATGCTGATGATGATGATGCTGCTGATGCTGATGATGTTGATGATGCTGATGCTGCTGATGATGATGATGCTGATGATGATGCTGATGATGATGCTGATGATGATGCTGATGATGATGTTGCTGCTGATGATGATGATGATGCCGATGCTGATGATGATGCTGATGATGATGCTGATGGTGATGATGATGCTGATGATGATGATGCTGCTGATGATGATGCTGTGATGATGATGCTGCTGCTGATGATGATGCTGATGATGATGACGATGACGACGATGACGATGATGATGATGATGATGATGATGATGATGATGCTGATGCTGATGCTGATGCTGATGCTGATGCTGATGATGATGATGCTGCTGCTGATGATGATGATGATGATGATCATGATGATGCTGATGCTGATGCTGATGCTGATGATGATGCTGATGATGATGCTGATGATGATGATGCTGGTGATGCTGATGATGATGATGATGATGCTGATGCTGATGATGATGATCATGATGCATGTGGTGGTGGTGGTGGTGGTGGTGGTGGTGGTGAAGATGATGCTGATAATACAGTCGACGAAAACGACGGGGACTACGATCATTTCATCGGCTTATGGGGGTATAGTTTGATAAGGACGGTGACTGCATACTGGACGCAAATCGTTGTCCCTGGTTGCTTACAGTTTCGTGGGGGCGTGCGGGCACGGTGCTCACTCAAGCGCTGGAAGCTGAGCATCTTTGCGGCCTGTTGGGCCGTTTGTTGGGCATCTTGGGTGTGTTTGGGCGCCATTGGGGACCTCTTGGCCGTCTTGGCCCGCCTTGGTACGCTCTGGCATCTGACGGGGTCACGCGACATTCAGCAGTAGTCAGTCGAGCAGCCGCAGGAGTCATGCGACCAGCCCCAGAAAATCCAGCAGTTGGGACTTTGGGTCCCGTGATTGAGAAGTATCGAAGGCGCCTACGGCGAACCACCGCCGCCCCGCGCCTTAAGCGCCTATGTGGCCAACCCATCGGCCAACGTCTGGCCAATTTATTGGTCTATCCAGCTGCCTGCGGCAGACACCGCCACCGCGCCAGGGCAGCAGCGTAGCGAGAAGGAGGTTGAGTGAAAGGCGCGTGTTGGAGCTTCTCTGGGGCCTCTCGGGAGCCTGTGAGTCTCGAATCATGGAAACATGACTCCAGCTCCAGGCATCTCGGTTTATATGCACCGCGGCGGTGGCCGAAGCTTTCTACAACCGATCTCTTTTGCTTGCGCTAGCGCTACCTTGCGCTTACATGCGCGGTGGTGACGGTCGAGCTTCGCCCCCCCCCCCCCCCCCGACTTTGAATAAATGCCCCGAGGGGGCATCTATGCAATGCGTTGCTCGTACCGCCGCCGCCTTGGCTCAAGGCGCTCTTGGGCAGTCTTGAGCTCTCTTGGGGTTTTCTTGGGGGCCTCTTGGGCCGTCTCATGGGCCCTGAAGCTCGAAAGCGCGGGTACGCCAACATCCTTCAACAACTGGTTGACAATCAATGATTTTGGCCTCATGGGGCCCTCGTGGGGGCCTTTGGGCTTCTCTCAGGGCGCCTTGGCGGCCTCTTGGGCAGTCCGCTGGGCATCATGGGCGTCTTGGGGCGCTACTGGGCTGCTTCGGGGCCATCGTGGAGCTGTCTTTGTGCCTGTCGGGGCCCTCTTGGCCTATATTGGCGCGCCCCCCAGCGTCTCGAAGAGCTGTCCCAAGAATCATGCGAGCAGGCCCAAAACACATCAGGGCAGCCCCAGGAAATCCGGCAGTTGGGGCTCTGGACGTAGTCAAGAAAGAGTGCCAAAGTCCGCGAAACAGATGACTCGAGGGGCCCCAAGGGCCCTCCACTGAGTGCCTTCTGCGCGGTGGCGGATCTTCCTTACGACAAGACTGCCTGCAGTCTACCCAGTGTATTGCACTGTTGCGGCGCCTTTGGTCGTGCTACTGCCGATCCTGCTGCAGCTGCTTGCCCTCCTCTCCGCCCCTCCGTAGAGACTTCTTGTCTCAAGCTGTTCGGCCCGAGCAGTGCGGGCCTCAAGCACGGTTCTTGGGTTTGCCGATTCTGTCTGGCATTGCACAGGGGCGCGAACATACTTTCGCGCCTGCGAGCGCAGACCAGCGGAGGTACACAGCGTCTAAGAGCGTCCAGCAGCCAGCAGGCCTCCCAACGAGATGGCAACTCGCTTGGCTGTAAAGAGCCCCTATCGGAATCTCCAGGGGAAGTACACACAGACCGGATGTTTTGAAGGTCGGCCGGCATTTGCTAAAGACCCTTCGCCAGACGACACAGCTTCCACGTGGATTTTCTATAGTGCAACTTTTGGCAGGGGCCCTTGCTGGTATCTAGTGGCCTGCGGCCCATCCCGCCGTCGTGGACAAAGGGCTTCTTAGAAGCCTTTCGGGGGCTCTTGGGGGCTTTTGGGATGCCTTTTGGGGCCCCTTGGCCTCTTGGAAGATTCTTGGAGGCCTCGTGGGGGGCCTCCTGGAGGTCTTTTGTGGGCCTCTCGGGGCATTGGGCCGTTGTGGCGCGCTCTGGGCGTGTTTCAGGGCCATTCTGGAACGTCCTGGACCGAAGTTGCCGAAATAGATCCAAACGTGCCTGGCGATGACCCGAGAGAGGGGGGGACGCTTCTCCCAGGGGTGTGTGCTCCCCCCTGGACCTCCCCCCTTCCCCTGGCGCGCCCCCCCTGGGTCCCCACAGGGACCCCCCCCAAGTGGGGAAGGGATCAAAGGGAAGGGATTTCCCTTCGACTTGACTGCGACACTGCTGGACGTCCTTGGGGTCGGCACCTGTAGCGCAACCTCACGGCTGTCCGCAGAAGAAGGAAGGATATGGGAGTATGGCGGGGGCGTTCGCTAAGGAATGTGGCCAGGAGGCTTCAGACCCTGGATGGTTCCTTATCTGATGAGGGCGGCGGTGATATCCATGGCCAAACCTTCGTTGGCTATCCACCGTTTTTTAGGCCCTGGATTCCTTATCCAAGGTCTCCTTATCCAATGGCTTCACCATAACGGGGATGAGTCACCGACATCCCCTCTCACGCACGCTGGCAGGGTCGGCGGATTTTTGTCATCCTGGGCCAGCCCTTGGGGCCTCCAAGACGGCCGACGAGGACCCCAGGAGGGGCCGTGCGCTGAGACCACGTTGGGCCATGTGGGGAGTGTGGGTTCCAAACCACTCTCCCAGTCCTCTGGACAGGTCACGGGGGCATTCCAGGGACCGCCTGGGCTTAGGGCCTAGGGCCCCCTTAAGAACCTGTGCAGCACTCCGTGCAGGGAGAGCTCGAGGGAACCTGCGGACACTCGGCTCAGTGCCTGCGCGACGGCGGCACGGTGGCGGATTTCGGGAGCAGCCTGCCCGAGAGGGGTTCCCTGTCTTCCTTCTGCAGCTCCACGGATGGCGCGCCCACGCCAGAGAGCGCGCACTGGCCTCCCGGCGACATCTACGAGATCAGGGACTCCGCGGCGGTGGCCGAAGCCGGACCTGCCTGCGGACTCGACAGTGCAGCAGGCCTGCGACGAAATCCGAACCCCATCCCCGCCGATCAACGATTCGGGCAGCTCGATGGGCGGCGGGGGCACGGTTCGGAGTTCGTCGCCTCCTGGGCGACGAAGAAAAGGGGTCCGACTGCGCCGACACCGGCGCGTGCGCTCCCCGCGTGAGGTCGCGCGTACGCGCCCTCGTTTCCAACGTCGTGTGGCGCGCCGGCGGCCCGCGTAAGCCGCCGCGTAAGGTCGTTACGTCACCTCGCGCAAGACCCGTTTTGGATCGTCGCTCGCCTAGCAGGGGCAGCGGCAGTGGAAGCGACGGCGTGTGTGGCATGCGCAGATCTGCAAGTCCTGTGTGCGGGCCTGCGGTGCTGCGGCTGCGCGCCCACGGCCGACCACGCGGTGGCCGTCTCGGCGCTGGCCGCGCTCCAGGGCCGCGCCAGCAGCGCCTTGAGGCAGAAGCTGGCCGTCGCGCTCGCAGGGGGCGGCGCCGAGGCCAGGAGGAAACTCGAGGCGGTCGCGGCTGCGCTCGGAGGCGGCGTCGGGCCGCCGATCATCCTGGACGAGCCGCCACCGTGCCTGGAAGCTGGCGGTGGGACGCTCACCCTGAACTGCGAGGCCTTTGCTCCGAGCGCAGAGCCAGTGCGGTACCAGTGGGCGAAGGACGGGGTTCCCCTGCGCTTGGCGGAGCGCCCTCGGCTGGTGCTGGCCGGCTTTGGGCCGCGAGACGAGGGCTCGTACAGCTGCTCCGTCTCGGCTGGCGCCGAGCCAGCGCGCACGCGGCCGTGCGAGGTGCGGCTGCGGGCGGACGAGCGCGAAAGACAGGGCCGTTTCGAGTCACCCATGCGGCGTGCGGCCGAAGCTCGGCATCGAGGTGACGTGGGCGCCGAGATCTGGCACCTGAGGGAAGCGGCCGAGGCGGCCGGGGAGAACGAGGCGGGCCGCGCCGAGGCCCTGTGTCTGCTGGCCGAGACCTATGTGAGGCTCGAGCAGTGGCAGGACGCCTTCCGCGAGAGCACTGCCGCGGTCAAGCGCTCGCCCGGGCAGGCGCGATCGCACGCAGCTCGTGGCATGGCTGCCTCAAAGCTCGGGTACCTAGCAGAGGCCGTGAGCAGCTGGGAGACTGCAGAGTTACTGGGCGGCGTCCCCCGGGCAGCCCAAGAAGCCGAGGCCTGCCGCCAGCGCCTTCGAGCGTTCTTCGCGGCGAACTCTGCGGCTCCGCCCAACGGCCAGCGGTCCCCTGGCAGCCAGAGCGCTGGGGATGGGCAAGACTGGGAGGAGTCGTGGCGCCGCAGCGGTTGGCAGGGGGGCCGCACTGGCTTCAAATCCTCGGGCGCTGCTGGAGCATTTGGGGCGGGCGCTGGCAGCGGCACTAGCTCCAGCGGCGGGTGCTGCAGCCCAGACTTGCAACGCTCGCTGAACATACTCGGTCTTGCTACTGGTGCTGGCGGCACGCTCCCAGTTCCGGACGACGTTCGCAAGGCGTACCGCAAGCTCGCCTTGCAGGCACATCCCGACAAGCCCGGGGGCTCCAAGACCAAGTTCCAGCAGCTCCAGGACGCGTACGAGCGGCTGCTAGCGGCCGTCTGAGGATAGCTCGCGCACCCAGACCTCGCCGTCTTGGGGCGGAGGAGGAGGAGGAGGAGGAGGAAGAGGAGGAGGAGGAGGAGGAGGAGGAGGAGGAGGAGGAGGAGGAGGAGGAGGAGGAGGAGGAGGAGGAGGAGGAGGAGGAGGAGGACACGCGACTTGCGCCAGGTGGCTTGCGAGCATGGTGAAAGGACGCGCCGCCGTGTCGAGCGGTTCGGCGGCACGCCACGCGAGGCAGGGCGAGGGGGGCGGCGTGCTAAGGAGGCAGGGGGCTTCTTGGAAGGGGTCGGCCTCTTCTCGGAGGCTTGCAGACGGCTTCGTGGACGGCAGGAGAGCTTTCGAGCGGCTGGGTGCCTTCTGAGCAAGCCGCTCTGCGCGTCTACTGTAATACATTGCTGCCTCGCAAGATGTTGCCGCTCCGCCAGCGAGGCAGACGTACACAGCATTTTCCAGACAGCCTCCTTGCAACAAACTCCGGCGCGGGAAGGGATAACACCTTCATTCTTTGGAAGCTAAGCAGGTCTCTACGTCGCGGGCGCCGGACATAGGAAGGAGCAGGCGGGTGGAGGCGAAGCATGAGGAGGCGGAGGAGGAGGAGGCGGAGGAGGAGGAGGAGAAGGAGGAGGAGGGGGAGGAGGAGGAGGAGGAGGATGGGGAGGAGGAGGACGAGGAGGAGTAGGAGGAGGAGGAGGAGGAAGAGGAGGAGGAGGCGGCGGAGAGGTAACGACAGAAAGCCTTCCTTCCAGCACTTCGGAGCCCCTTCAGATTCATGTCAATGCCACCTCCTTTTCCCCATTTTTGCTCCTCCCTCCTCTCTCATCCCCCTTCGTCATTTCTCCTCCCGCTCTACTTCTTACTTCCTCCTTTCGCCCACCCGAATCTCTGAACAGGTTTAGCGCGAGCATGTCAGGATATGGGAGTCGACCACGATATTTTGCATTACATGGAAGAAATGCATGTGTCCTCCTCTCCCTTCTCAACGCCGCCGGGACGGGGCAGGAGGAAATGGGATGAGGAGGAGGAGGAGGAGGGGGATGAGGAGGATGAGGAGAAGGAGGGGGTGTGAGGAGGAGGAGGACACGGAGCCCACCAAAAGCCTCAGTGGCTGGGTTCACATGGTTGACCGCCCCTCACACGTCTCGTGGCCCCACAGGGGCCTCCACCGAAGGCGCCAGTGGCTGGATTCACGAGGTGCCCCACAGGGACCTCCACCGGGCGCCATTGGCTGGGTAAACATAGTGGAACGCCCCATGTCGGCACTCCCCTCACACGTTTCGTGGCCCCACAGGGGGCTCCCCAAACGGCCCCAGTGGCTGGTTTCACATGGTGACTCGCCACATCTCGGCACATCCGTCACGCGTTCCGTGGCCCCATGGGGGGCCCCACCGAAGGCCCCAGTGGCTGGGTTCACATGGTTGACCGCCCCTCACACGTCTCGTGGCCCCACGGGGGCCTCCAACGACGGCGCCGGTGGCTGGGCTCACGAGGCGACCCGCCCCATTTCGGCACTCCCCTGACACGCTTCGTGCCCCCACGGGGAGCTTTACCGAAGGCACCCGCGGCTGGGCTCACATGGTTGACCCGCCCCATCTCGGCACATCCCTGGCACGTTTCGTGGCCCCACAGGGACCTCCACCGAAGGCGCCAGTGGCCTGGGTTCACATGGCTGACCCGCCCCACTTCGGCAGACCCCTCACACATTTTGTGACCCCACAGGGGGCTCCACCAACGGCCCCAGTGGCTAGGTTCACATGGTGACCCGCCCCATCTCGGCACACCCTCCACACGTTTCGTGGCCCATAGGGAGCTGTACAGAACGCACCAATGGCTGGGTTCAAAGGGTGACCCGCCCCACTTGAGTGGTCCTGCACGTAGTTGCCACGCGTTAACAGAGGGATGGGTTTTCGCTAGGGTGATTTCGCAGGGTTGTCCCGAGTTGACTTCCAATCCGCTTTTTGCTGATTCAAAGCGCTCCCGATCTTACAGGAGTGATGCTCCCGCAGCAGGGCTGGCCACATGTAATGCTGTCCAGGGAGCCCCCGTCCAATGGAACGACGCGTTCGCCGTAGCGCTGGCCGCATTCCTGCATCAGTGAAAGTGGTTCTCTCGCGTTTGCCGCAGTTGCGGATTCCCGACGATCTTCCGTCCAAGTCAACGGCGCTCTCGTTCCAGCGGTGGCCGTGTTCCTGCATCAGCGACACTGGTGCTCCCGCTGCAGCGTGTACCACATGTGATGACAGGATATCCGTCCAACAGAGTGGCGCTCTAGCCGCGTCGCTGGCCGTAGTCCTACATCGGCAGATGTGATGCTCCCGCTGCACCGCGTGCCACATTTGAGAACTTCAAGTGGGCATCCGTCTCACAAAAAGACGCTCAGGCTCCCTCATTCCCTCCCAGCTCCTGGCTCACAGGGGTTGATGTCCTACTTGGGTGTCCATGTAAAGAAAAGAGATGGGAGGGATCATATTTGGATCGAGCGCACTTAGCTTGTTACTCCCCCCTCCCCCCTTCCCTCTGTTCCCCGTTTTCCCCCTGTCCTGCGCCGCCTGCGTCCCGCATCCGCCTCCGCCTCCGCTGACGCCGACGCTTCCACCAGCCCGACGACGACGACGATGACGACGACGACGCCGCTGGCGACGCCGACGACGACGCCGCCGCCGACGCCGACGCCACAGACGCAGACGGCGTCGACGCCACCGCCGACGGACGCCCAGAAGCGCCGCGCAGGCCCTGGCGCTGGCGGCGACCTCGCCTGCGTGCCGCGCGGCGAGGCTGCGGGTGGCGCGGGCGGCGGCGGCGACGGCGGCTGCGCGATGGTCTGCCAGGCGCGTGCCCAGCAGCCGTGCTGAACGGCTGCGGCCGCGGTCCTCGGCTGCCGCGACCGCCGCCGTCTCCCGCCGCCGCCGCCGCCACCGTCGTCATCGTCGTCCGTCGTCAGTCGTGGTTGTGGTTGTGGCCGTGGTCGTGGTCGTGGTTGTGGTTGTGGTCGTGGTCGTGGTCGTGGTCGTGGTCGTGGTCGTGGTTGTGGTCGTGGTCGTGGTCGTGGTCGTGGTCGTGGTCGTGGTCGTGGTCGTGGTCGTGGTCGTGATCTTGGTCGTGGTCGTCGTCGTCGTCGTCGTCGTCGTCGTCGGCGGCGCCTTCTCGTGTGGGCAACCCTTTGTGCTCCTCCCCTGGGATCTGGGAGCGTTCTTCCTCTCGCCCTCACATGGGAGGGGATCCGGGGAGCCCAGGGGGAGAGGCGGAACTGTTGTGATTCGCCATTCCGAAACAGAGGTGCTGCTGATCACCGTTCCACATGTAGCTTGTCTTTCGTAAGAGGCCGTGCACTTCCTCACATAGCATAGCGTCAATTGTTGCGCAGTATGATCAGACATTACCAGCATTTTTCTTTGTCAGACACTCTCGCATTCTCCTCCTGCTCCCCTTTCCTTACCATCCCCTCCTCTCAGCGTGTCTCGCTTCGCCCGCTCGTCGGATGTGCCTTCCGATGATTTGAGACGCTTCGACCGGTCCGCGTTCTGGTTTCTGTCTCCGCGCCTTTTGCTGCCGCCTCGCCGGCCGTGCTCGGCGACCACACCTCGGGCGTGCCCACGCCTTGGCGGTCTTTTTGCTGGGATGGGTGCTGCACCCGTCGGGCACGCTGTGCCCCTTTTGCCTCCTCCCGCTTCCTCCTGGCGCCGCGCGTTGCCGCCCGCTGGTGTGCTCGCGGCGGCTGCGCCCGCCCGCAGATCCTGCATTTCCCAAGTGCCCAGCATCCTTGGGCTGGCCTCTGTTTCAGGGGCAACGCCAGGGGGGAGGGAAGCCTCCTCCTCCTTCTCCTTCTCCTCCTCCTGCTCCTGCTCCTCCTCCTCCTCCTCCTCGTTCTCCTCGTCCTCCTCGTCCTCCTCCTCCTCCTCCTCGTCCTCCTCCTCCTCCTCCTCTTCCTTCCGTAGCCATTTTGGCTCAAGGCCGTTTCGGGACCTCACTCCCCGCCTCGAGGTTCTACCAGGCTTGGATCCGCGGTAGGCAGGAGCAATCCTCGCCGCGGCCCTGACAGTGTGGCATCTTTTTAGCACACCCTCGAGCTTCCAGTTCGGTACACTACGTGCTCTGGACATTCGTTTCTGGGACAACGGCGCACACCGTGCCTGTTGATCCCGCGATGGCGCCCGCTGCTCCTTCTGGCAAAGGATCAGTGATCAAGAGTGTTGGCAAGGACCGCCCAGGCGTGACCGAGTCAATGCGAGTGGACCCGCTCCTGAAGAAGGTCCGTGGAGCCCGTCAGGTTCGGCTGTCTCGTCGACCGTTCCCGCGTTGCCACCCGACGCGGCGGATGCCGAGACCGACGCCGCGATGCACCTCGGTCTGGGCACTTCGCTTGATGACGAAAGTCCCTCGGACAATGATGTGATCGTCCTGATCAACGACGACGGCGGCGGGGTCGACCCCATCGGCGAGCAGGCCGCGCAGGACACCCTGGCTGGGCCTCAGCCGCGCTGTCCACCTGCTGGCCAGGTGCAGCAGGGCCCTCTCGCCGACCGCATGCTCGAGATGCTGGCGGCCATCAATTTCAACATGGTCACGAAGTCTGCGGTGGAAGATTCCATCCAGAAGGCCGACACACAGGCTGCCTTCCTGGTCGCCCGCATGGATGACATTGACTCGCGCATGAGCGCGCTTGAGGACGCCCAGGAGGCCGCAGTTCTCTCGGCACTGGACGGTCGCGTCGCCGCCATCAAGGCCGAGCTCCTGGACCAGCTGCCGACGCGCGCGGATCCCTACGGAAACATCGACAGCGACCAGGTGCAGCGCCTGTCGGCGCAGGTCGAGGCGCTGACCCAGCAGGTCTCCGCCTTCCAGCAGCCATCGCCACCTTCATCGGCCTGGTCTTCGTTTGCACCGACCTCGCGCGCACGCAGTTCGGCATCTTCTGCTGACGAGGAGGCTGACAAGACCAAGCTGTGGATCGGAGGCTTTACGCGGCGGATGCTGGTGCGGACCCTCTCGGCGCACGGCGATGTGCT